ATATCATATCATATCATATCATATGTATATACACGCAAACACACATGCAAACACTTAGACACATACACACACACACACACGCGCGCGCACCTCTTTGAGTGTGTGTATATATATATACATATGTATGTAAAGATGTACATCTATCCATATTTTCAACGGATTTCCGTTTGAGCCCGTGCCGTAAGGCTTTTATATGGCATGTGTGCGTTTTGTTTTTTTTGGCGGGGGCTCGGTGGGTGGTGAAGGTTTTGGAAAGTAAGCTCCCTGTTGGATTGGGGATTATGTCAGTGCTATGTCTGAGGATTCTAAAAGGGCCGAGGCTTTTGGGATTGAGCTGGTAGCTCTTGTCTGACTTGTTGCTTCCATTGGAGGTGCAAGGCCTCGCAGGTGCAAATGGCCCCGAAGCCACTTAGTAAGCAGAAAATCGTTCAACCCAAAACCCTGAACCCGGGGCGGCTCCGGACCACCGGTCGCCAAACCCAACTTTGATAGCTGAGCTACGAAGACCAAGTCCAAGCTTCTTCCTAAGGCTCCCATGCGCGGGAGCTGTGGTTTGCACAAACAGCGCCTCTGCAGCAGGGGCTTTTGGGTCTGAAGGATGGTGGCCAGAGCAAGGCAATTCATCTTAATCTGCCAGGCTTGCCAGGGAGGTGTTGTGGATTCCGAGCAGCATGCTGATTGTTCGACAACGCTCCAGATTAAAGCGTAGCTGTCGAACCGGGCCAGCAGAATGGATTGGAATCTGGAAAGCTTCCTGCACTGTCGCTTGCAGCATGAAAAGGTGGCGAGACCCTCGCCCTCCTTTCACCGGCCTTACACCAGCATACTCCCTAGTGTGGCTTGCTCAGCAGGTGGCGTGCCGTGAAGTGTTTCGAGAGCAAGTTGAAGAGGACATGCATTCGGGATTTGGTGCTTTCTTGTGAGCAAGGCGGTACGGGATTGGTAGCTTGGAATACAGCAGACTCCAGCAGATATGGTCATTCGTACACGAGGCGTGCCGATCTTGAGTTCGCCGGATTTCAAGTTCATCATTGCTACAGTTAGACGACAGAGAAGGTGTCTGGACCAAAGTTTGCAGGGAAGGGGATTCGCTCATGCTCGTAGCATTGCACGGTGAGATTTGAGGAGCCGGAAGACACCCTTCATAGCCTTCAAGGAGGAGGGAGCCTCCATCGACAATGTTGCTGGAAGCGCCTCGGCAGCTCCACGGAGTTTCGCCTGTTTTGGCCTCGGCTCTCTTGACACGGGTCTGTCTGGGTCACTGGTCCAGCCGGAGGGAGACGCCTTAAGCAGGAGAATTCCGGGCGCAAGTGCCAATGTGCGTGAGTGGGAGTATCTCAGGGCATGTAGTACAGGTATTTGTAATCAGAATGGCAGCAGCAACAGGGACTCTCGCGTTCGAAGCTTCTCGTGTGATGTCTCCGTTCATGCGTTGTGTAGATCAGGCATGTGCGTGTTCACATACATAGATATATGTATACATATATGTATATACAGAGACGTACATACATACGAACAGTATTATAGAATGCGATTGTCGCTAATACAACTAGCAGTTCATAATCTAGAATCTAGAACTTACCATAACGCGTAGAACTCAATACTCATTAGTAACTAGTTAAAAAAGCCAGTCACTGGTAACTGGTAAGAACTGCACCTGGCGAAGATATTTAACAGGAGCTTATGACATCTTCTTACAGTTGTATAAGGAAAGATTGATCGAGACAAGTCAACGAAATCAACCAATGAGCAAAAGCAAAAGCTAGGTAACAACCAATAACAACAAATAGCAGTTATTACGAATGAGCAGTAAGAGCAAACATCTGAACACAATAATCAACAATAGTAGAGCGCACATGCTAATAGTTCAGAACAGAGAGCAATACTTTTCAGTTAAGAAGAACAGGACTATACATGCATATCTGCCTGCATGCATGCTCATGACTATGTGCTAGCACACGGCATCTGTCTGCATGCTTACGACTGTGAGCTGGCACACGCCATCTGTCTCCGCTTACTCTGCCTGCGGATGCCTTTCCACTTGTCTACACTGATGTCTATGTAGATGTTGGTTCCCTCTCAACCCTCCTACACATACATGAACACAGAGATATGCACACATGCGTCTGTAGGGACATGCGAGATACCCTAAACCCTAGGCCCTTTCGAACAAGCAGAAGTAGAAGAGCAACCAAAAGAACACCAAATCCTTTGAGACTGAACCTTAATTCAGCTGCCCACGGTGGTCGCCTCAAGGCCCCCGGGGCAACGCAGACCTCAGTCCCAGCAGGGACCTCCATGCACGGGTCTCGGTGGGCCTTCAGGGACGTTTTAAGTTCCGCATCGGGGTGTCGGTTCAGAGCCTAGGGTTTAGGAGTTTAGGATTAGGGTTCAGGGTTCAGAGTTCGATTGATGGAGTGCTAGGTGTACGACGACACAGTGTCGCCACACTGTACCTTGTGCATTTCAATTTAATGCGCGCTGCAGTGTTGACTGGATCTGTTCTACAATTAGTGCCCTATTTCTAGTGTTTTACAGCCAACAATTCACGTGACTATCTATAAGTACAGTTGCCTGTCTTGTCCAAGTTCTCCACCAAACGCGACACTGGCCGAGACACAGCACCCTCCCGAAAACTAACGAAGAAACACCGAACCGCAAAATACAGTAAAGCGCTGCAAGTGTGGGGCGTTTCCTTGGCCATGTCATCCACTGGTTCTGAGTGAGTGGGCCCAGAAGTTTAGGGTTTACGGTCGCGGAGATCATGTGACTAATGTCGTTTCCAAGGTCAGCGTAGCCGTGGAACCCGAGGAGGCGACGACAGTGCTGGCTGAGCGCTTTGACAGCAATGATAAAATCAGTTTTCGGAAAGCTTCCGGGATGCATAAATGCAACATGAAGCAAAGACTGCTTGACAAGACAGATGAGTTTGATGTAAGTTTGCCGCTCAACATGAGCTTTGCGCTTGTTTGAGAAACCAAGAAGCGGGTCTCGTGCGCAGAGCGCCATGCAGACACGGCTCAGGAAGGCTCCTCCCGTACAGCAGGACACGCGGGACATCCCCTCGGCAGGGGACTCCGAAGGCCGGTCCATGCACAGCGAATGCGCAAGTAGTCAGTGCTAATCGCTTCAGGCCCGGGAACCGCTTCAGAGCTTGTATAAAGAAGATAGTCACCAATACCACCGCCACCATTACTGTCACGGCCACGACATGCTGCCACCGCAACCACGACCACCACGACCACGAAAAGCTGCTGCTACTACTTCTAGTACTACTACTACTACTACTACTACTACTACTGCTGGGTACTACTACTACTACTACTACTACTACCACTACTACTACTATTACTACTACTACTACTAGCTAGCATGGCACTCGTAGTAGCACCGGCACTAGTACTAGTACTTGTTCTGGTATCACGACGTCCATACCCCCGGTCTAGCATCGGAAACATGTCATTCTTCAGTTTCAGCATTGGGGCATCGGATTGTGCGCATGCCCAGTAGGGCGTTTCTCATGGTAGAAGAATGGTGGAGTCCTGGCTGACCGGAGGCTGCTGTCCGGCGAAGCCCTGTGTGCCAGAGCAGCCACCGCTGCCACAGAATGACCCCACGAGCATACCGGACGAGGCCGCGCTCTCAGAAATTTTCGTTGCCTGTCTCTAACTGTGGCTCTTTCCTGGCCCTTGCAGTTGATTCCAAAAAAGCTCCAACCGGCCGCGGATGTGGGCGACAGTTTTTTGGCCGGCTGCGCTGCGGCAAACGCCCTGGAGGCTCGTGCCTTTCTGGGAACTCAGCATCTTGTGGCTTTGCTGCCCCTGTCTTGTGAGAGCAAAATGTTGCGAAGTTGCGAACGAGTCGTCGGAACGTTCACTTCGTTGAAACACACCTCCCCACCCTCTCCCCCTCGCTTGATTTAATGGCCTGCCCCCGTCTCCCGCCACTGGTGTTTTAATTACCGCTAGATAGTACTAGATTGGCGTGCTGCTACCACCGTTTTGCGGAAAATTCCGGGCTCGTGTTTCTTAATTCTTTGTTGTTTGCATCAGAAAAGGCGGGGGGTTATCAACTTGAAGTCAAGATTGCATGTGCCAGTTCGAGGTGGTTTGCAGGGCTCAGACCCTCTAGGTGGAAGCTCAGCAGCCCAAGGCAAAGGGCTCAGTTGGACCCTCACCCGAAAAGCCGCAGTATGCCGTAGGAGCTCGGGCAGAGTTCGTGCTTGAAGGATCATGGCTAGATATCGGCAGGGCGAGGAATCAGGGAGGCAACTGTAATTCTAGCAGCTTTATTTAAGCATCGCCATGTGGCAACATCGTCTGCTTCTGCAAAGTTGAGGCGAAGCACGAATCCAAAAGCTTGAGCCCAAAAGTCACCAAAGCTCCACATCCCCTAAGTCTAAACCTCCCTGAGCCCGAAGCTATCAACGCAGGATCCGGCCCAGCACTACGACGACGCGGCTGCTTATCAGAGCGAAAGCTCGGCAGAGGTGCGAGTTCTCGTCGCTAGGGATGCAAACCCTAAAGCTCTTTGAGGATGCAGTCTCATGTTCAGTTTCTGGACGCGTGCTGGGCTTCTCAAGAGAGGTTGTTGAGCTAAACCAGTCCCCAGAGCCAGATCTTTCAAGAGCTTTTGGGCTCTCCAGGTCTTGGCCTAGGCCTTAGCCTTTCGAATCTCTTTTCTGCCACCCTTGCTGTTTCGGGCATGGCACGAGAGGTGGAGTTCACTGTGTGCGGACCGGCGGGACAGGAGATTGGCAAGTTCTGCCTGGATTACGCGTCTCCGTGTGGTTTGTTGAAGTTGCAGATCGAGCAGAAGGTAGGTCCCCCACCTATGACGCAACAGATCATCATCGGAGACCGGACGCTTGAAGAGTCGGATCCTTTGCTGGAGGCTGAGACAGCCGACTCCGTGCAGGTGACGCTTTTGGTGCGGTTCCCGCCTGGCCAGTCCGAGTTGGAAGCTCTCTGGAAGGCTCTCCCTGGGGCGGGTGGATTCCTGGAAGAGATGCGCATATCCACGGATGATGGACAGACCGTCGTGCTCCCGGACGATCGTGTCCAGACATGTGGCCTCGACCCGGACTCTGGCTTGCTCCTGCTCATGCGCGCTGCAACGTTCGAGGATGGCAAGGGCAAGGGCAAGGGTAAAAACGAGCTTACCGAGTTTGACCGAGGAAGTGTTGCCTTTCCGAAAGCGAGGAGGAGGATCTTGGCAAGGGCAAGGGCAAGGGTAAAAACATGCCTACCAAGCGACGCTGCACCGCACCTGGATCGCTAATCATTGTGCGTGGCGAGGGCAAGCCGGTGGAGGTGCCCCTGGATGTTGATCACCCGCTGCACTGGAACACGGAGCCCCCGGAGATACTTGCAGTTGAAGCTGTGCAGGGATATCCGATCCCTTCCTTCGGGGTTGCAGTGGCGCGCATATTCATTGGCAGAAAGGTGCACTTGATCTCAATGGAGCTATGCCCTGCGGTCATCAAGTGGCAGCGTTTGACAGCGTCAAGTACCAGATGCGAAGCTGCGTGCTTAGACAGGGAGAACCTGCGGACAATCTTCGTCCAGGCGGGTCCTGCCGGGCGCGACGTGTTGTTCGCACCGCTACGGGCTGACAGGGAGTCTGAGCAGGTTGACAAATTTCACTTGACTGGAGAGCTGCCGGACAAAACGGTGAGCAGCGTTGCATGGTCAAGCGCTTCTTCTTCTCTTCTACTTACCTTTGTTGGTGAGCACGCAATTCGGGTGTACCAGAAAATTGGATCTGTCTGGCAAGCTGCTATGACACTTGGAGATCCATCACGGAGAGGTTGCGCAGATGGCGAGGCTGATCAGCTTATGTTTTGGTTCCCCAAGTGCGACAACTTTGATGGAGAGCTGACATATTCTCGCCCGCTCATTGCAGGTCCGTCTGGTACAGTTTTCGTGCACTCTGGCGGAGTGCTGATGCGCTTGGCGGCCAACTTGTCTGCGATCAAAGCCACATCAATGAGGGAGGAGCTCTGGATGCTGGACGAGGATGAAGGTACCCCGCAGTATCCCGACCCTTACAATGTTTGCGGGGTAAATGGAGACAAGATCTACAGGGCTTTGCGCCAGATGGACTGGAGACAGGGGCTCCTCGTTCGCCGCTTGCAGCTGTCTCCAGATCTGCGGCAGAGCCGCAGTCGGATCCGAGATACCGCTCCAGCGTTATGGCCTAGCATCAACGAGAATCGCGTCCAGGACGCTGCTTTCGTCGACCGGGGATCCCAGTGTCAGAGAGCCTTGCGGCCAGTTCGCTATTACGAGGAAGACCGTGACAAGTGGATGGAAACCCGCGGTGGCTGGGCGACGGGTGGCTCTGGCGGAAGACCGAAATTCCGGAAGACGTCCGAGTCACCTCTCGTGGCCAAGTCGTTGATTTCGAGCGGTGGCGGCAGCAAAAACAGTGGGAGGAGGAGGAGGCGGAGGTCCGCTTTGGCAAGGGGGGCAAGGGCGGAGGCTACCAGGAAGACCCTGCGGAAGACCCTGCCAAGGAACTCCGATACAAGAACCTCTTGGAAAGTGAGTGCCGGAGTATTTCCGCCAGTTCGGCCTAACGTTTTCTGGAAGGTAGAGGGCGTTTGGGCACCTGCTGCCCACTGCCCTGCAACACTCGCAACTCTGCTCCTTTTTGTTCGATTGTCGTTTCCACAGCCGCAGCAGCGACCGCATGCGCAAAAACTGCTTCTCCAACTCGAAGCTCAGAAACAACTTTAACAAGTATAAAGGTTACATATTCTATTTATGATGTCATTGGCAGTTCTGAATTAAGTCCCCTCAGCCCGACGTTGTTGCTTTGTGCTGTTATCCAGGGGGCTGTGACTCTGCAAACATGTTTGAGAACTTGGGCCTTCACCCACCTTCCGGGTGTTGAGAGACTTAGCCACCCTGTGCAAACGGGCGTATGGAAGTCCCGAAACCCTTGGCATCCCTAAAGATCCCTAAAGCCCTAAACCGGGCACCCACAGCGCGAGGAGGAGCCGCCTCTTTTGGAGTGAAGCCACGCGTTGGTTGCCGAGCTTGTGAAGTGCAGCGGTTCAGGTGTTAGGTTGTTGCCACTTTCGGTAATTGGGTTTGACTCTCTTGCAGCTGTGAAAGACTACCGCAACCACTGGAGTTTGTAGGACTTTGTGGCCAGAAAGGGTCGCACAAAATGCAGCAGATACGAGTGAGAGCTGCCGTCCATGTAGCTGTCCCAAGAGCAGTTCTTCTTATCAGTTTTTCTTCACATTGCGCAGCTTTTGCTGGGGTGACCTGATTGAGAGCACATGAACGGCTGCCAGCACACCTGCTTCATTGATACGTCGTGACGTGCCCGGTCTGCTTGTTGTGACGAATGGACCTTCGCAGGTTTCACACCATGTCTCCAAAATGTGGTATCTTCCACAGTGAAGTGGAGGCCACAGGTTTAAGCCAGTCTCTCATGGGAGTAGGCTGCCATGCTCATGCTAAGCACACGCTTGACCATGAACGCGGCACCGTGTTAGATCGCGGCCTTCCGTGGTTCCTCGAACTTCCCGAACCCTAAACCCTCATAGAAGTCTGGTAGAGCCCGACAAGAACCCTTATAGTCACTCTTGAGCATGTTGATGTTGGCTGGGGAATTTTTCTCACCAGCCCGGGGCAAGGTCGGCCAAGCCATCGTTAGCCCTGAAGCAAGGCTTCCGCTCCAACTCGCGAACTAACCCTTGACATGACATGGGAGTTTCAGAACCGATGGGATGCCACTCCCCAAATGGCAGGATCCTGAAAGGCATGAGGACGCCAAAAACAAACTCGGCACAAGCATAGTTCAGCAAGGCCTTACACGAATGAACAGCAAGGCCCAAAGATTGGGGAAGCGTTGGTTATGCCCTTCACTGCTCAGTATAGGCTAGAAGTACGGGTTCTTGTGCGGATCGATAGGGATCTTAAGAGGAACATGGTAACCCCACTGAGCGACACTAAAGCTCCATCTGTCGGTAAGTTCCGCTGGTCCACAACCCCTTCTGCGAGAAGCTTCGTGTACTTAAAGGATCATGGGACTTAGTAAGTAGGGTTATAACTAAGGGTAACTATAATTAACCCTACTCCATGGTCCTCCAAGTAGAGCCTAAGATGGAGAACGACTTTGGGAGAGGAGGCTTTTTTAGGCAGGCAGCTGCCAGGCTTCCTGGGAGAGCTGAGAGCTCCGGAGCCCGTTGTCTCCCCTGTAGGATCCACTCTAGGCCTCGAAGGGCTATGAAACTCCGTCTGAAATTCGGTACCGAATCCGTATGACAGCAAGGAGGGTTGGGATCTTGAAAGGCCTTCAGGCTGAATGGCTTAAGCTTCGAGGGAGAAAGGCAGGGGCTTGGAGCCAGCCACCCGGAAGCACGTTGATGTGCAACACGCCAGCAGATGCAGAAACACTTCCTTCAGCAGTGCAGGAGCATTCGTGTCGTCTCTGTTCATGACAGGGTGACCGCACCTTGAGGCAGGGGCGGAGACGTCCACCTAACCTTAGGGATTGGATGTAGAGTTGATGCGTCTGCGCGGGGGAGGCTGCGCCCCAAACGGCCGCCGCGCCTCCGTTTTTCCTCGTGGGGCTGCGCTGCGCGTCCCAATGGAGCCACAGCGTTTGTGAGTGCAAAACGGACCGTCGATCCGCTGCATGCAGTGTCGTGGCCAACTTCCCACTGACGGGGCAATGCTATATGCTCTGCTGCAAGCGTACTTGTAGAAGCCCAAAACCAAATAAGCCCTAATCCCCTAACTGCCGGAACCCCTGGCTTGTCCCAGTTGTGCTAAATCTTTGGTGGTTTAGGGGGGACCTGTGCGGTGTGCCTATGTGATAGTATGAAGTAGTCAGCGACCAGGCACCAGCGAGTTGCGAGAGTCGAGACCCCTTACAGTCGCAGTAGCGTGAAGCTGTGGTTTCTGCCAGATCCCCAAACTTCGCCAAAAAGAAACCCCCAAACCCAAAGCCTCAAAACGAGGGAAACTTCAAGTCTTAAGCTAGTGAAAGCCCTGATGAGGGCGCTCAGGCCTTGAACTGTCTCTCTCTGCGGTTGCGGTGAGAGTCGATGTCCCGCAGTTTTCTGCTCGTTACTCCGATCTCCCAACAGCCCTGGACCATGGCTCTCTCGAGGCTGTGTTCGGCTTTGAGGGTCTCGGGTTTACGTGCTTTTGGGGTGGTTTCGGAGTCTGGGGGTTCAGGGTTTCGGATCTTGGTCTCAAGGCTTCCACTTAGGATGATAATATATGACTTTGCTGACTTTACTACCTTCCATGAAAGTCCAAGTGGGGTTTTGGGTCACCTTTCTGAGGGCGTTCCTGGTGGATTCTTGCGGGGTCTCTGCACCTTACAAAGCATTGGGAATATGGATCGGTGCGTTCACGCGTAGTCAGGTGAGGCCAGAGCAAGACGAAGTCCGACGCGGTGCAAAGAGCGCAGCAGAGAACATACAGTGCTTCAGCAGCCTTCTTGCAACACCTTGATCATGGCCTCAATTCCTTTTCCCCATCGCCCACCGCAGAGGATGCGGGCACGGGTGCCCTCCGTGGCAAGACACCTCGCTCGGCGCGGCTTTCTGAGCCCAGGCTGCAGTTGAGCTGTCGAGTGATGTCGGGGCTCATGCGGGGGTTTCTGAATTTCGGTCGGGGTCCGGAAAACACGAATCTTATCGTTAAAGGGTCAACATTAGGATCTCCTGTTTTCAGACGCCCACATTGAAGGAGGCGGGGGTGGAAGTGCTCAGGTTTCGGGTAAGGGGATTTCCCTCCTTCGGGGTTCGGTGTAGGCATGTGTAGGCCTTGGCTTTGGCATTCCAATGTTTCACCATCGACATGTCCTGCAGGATGTGTGCGACTGGGGGCTCGACAAAGCAAGAGAACGAAAGCATCACCTCGCAACAAGAAGTGTGCTGTGGCTTCGGTCATTCTCCTCCTCGTCGTCGTCGTCGTACTGACAGCGGAAGTGCCGAATCAGCAGCAGCAGCAGAACTGGTAAGTGGTAGCTTCAGCAGCAGCAAGAAGAGGGCGGGGGCCGACGTCAAGAAGCTGCTCGCCACACGAGGTGACGTTGATGATGGACAACCTCGTCCCCTTGATCAGAAGCTCTCGAAAGCCGAATTTGCAAATCCGAAACTCCCCAAGCCCCGACAACCCCAAGCACGCTCTTTAAAGGAAGCCACGACAGCTTAACCCATCTTGGCCCTGGGAGCTGCAAAGCACCAAGGAGCACTTCCGGCGCCCGGCGGCAGGCCAGGGCGGGGTGTAGGTCGGCAACAGCTTCCCGCAGAAGGCTTTGCGGAACCCCATCGAAGAACCTTTACGCAGGGTGGGCGGTGGCCAGCGCATTGAGGGCAAGTTCAGAGAGCCCTGTGCAGTGTGTCCCTCCAAGCTCCCTCACCACCCTCATCATAAAGTTTAGCAGAAGGTTTTTTCAGGAGTTCAGGAGATTCTTATGATTATACCCTGCATTCAGGCGGGGCTTCAGACAATGGCTCCTGAGCTGTCTCTGCTTCTGCACTCGTGAGGCCGGCGCTGACATCATCGGCATTGACCTGGGCACCACCAATTCATGCGCCTCGACCCGTGAGTCTTCGGTCGGTTTGAGAAGCCAGCGTCGCGGCGCGGTGCGCGCCCAGATGCGCCCGGAGCCCAGATTTCCCTTGGCCAGGCGTGGCCGTGATGGAAGGCGCGACCCCGAAGGTCATCGAGAACAGCGGCTCGGCGGCCTTCAGCTTCGCTCCGAGGTGCACGAGGCTGAAGCCCAGAGCGCCGAGGCGAGGGCATGCGCACCACGCCCTCCATCATCGGCTTCGGTGAGCAGCGTCTAGCGACTCGGTCGCGAGATCTTCAGGAGAAGACGTGTCCACAGTCGGTGTGCTTCTTGGCAGACCTTGGTCGCGCAGGGCATGCTCTCCAGCCATTGCCCTATCGTACCAAAGAGCTCTTTCAGCAAATGCCACCTTTTTGGTCAGAGGCGGACGTCTCCTGCCACGGGGCCCAATGCATCGAACATGCGAACATGCAGAGCGGAAGCCAGAAGCCCAAGAGCCCCGAAACCCACGCTGGATGTCAAGGTGTGGGAGTATGAACCCTGAAGAAACCGCCCCAGAAGAGTGCAAGGGACGCCGGAAACCAACATTCTAAGTCTTCATGACGGAGCCAAGACACCAAAGCTAAAAGCCCTTCAAAGCCCAAGCCGCGGCCGCTTTAGCTGCAGGTGGGCATCCCGGCTAAGCGTCAGGCAGTCACGAACCCGGAGCCTCGCCTCGGGATTTGAGTTTTCAAATCTTCTGGGCCTCGGAATTTCGGATGTTGGGTGTTACTGTACCTATCGGCAAGGCTATGTGGATGTCGAGTGCAAGAGCAGGAGCAGGGCGAACTTTCGGAAGTCCAGCTGCTGGTCTCACTGAACGTGAGCGTAAAGTTGTTGTGCGCGCGGCCTCTCGCCGATCTCGCGACAGATGGATGCAAAACAAGCCTAAAGTGGTGCTTCTGTCACTTTTTTTCAGACACTTCCGGGTCTTAAGGTGCAAAATACCGGCAACTCTGCGGCACCGAAACCCGTCCAGAGGCAACCCCACAATCCCTGGCACTCTTGGACCCTGCGAGCCGCATAAGCCTTCCAGCATTGAGTTTGCAGTTGCTGCGTGGGTCCGCAGCAGCCCAAAATCCATCTCACTAGAGGCCGCTGATTGAATCTGAGACAATCTGCTTGCTCCAGTCCTCCAGGAGAACACCATCTTCGCCGCCAAGCGGCTGATCGGTCGATCCTATGACGACGAGGCCATGGTTTGGAAGAAGAACCCCCCCGGAAAATCCGAAAAACACTGGCATTCCACGCCTCCACGTGTCTGCAGCCCCCGCTTCAGGCGACGCAGAAGGACAAGAAGATCCTCCCCTACCGGATCATCAAGGCGGGCCGGCGCAAGCCCTTTGTGCAACGAACTCGCAAAATGGTGTTCAGTACAGGCGCCGAACGGCGACGCCTGGGTCGAAGCGGAGGGCAAGCAGCAGCTGTGAAGACATGGCAGAGGCGGAGCTTTCAGCCCCGTTCGGAGCGAGCGAGCTGAGGTATTCCCCTAGCCAGATCGGGGCCTTCGTGTTGACGAAGATGCCACTCGGACCGGACTGTGGGAGACGATGCGTTTGGGTGACTCGTGGAAGAGTGCGGGTCCTCTCAGGAAGGAGACTGCCGAGAGCTACCTGGGCCGGAACGTGGGAAAGGCTCGCCGGAGGGAAAGGAGAGAGCTTCGGGGCTGGGGACCAGACGTGGCCTCTTTGTGCAGTTCCACGGCTCTTGTTGAACGTTTGCAGATGCGGTTTCCGAAGCTATGGATTCAGCCGCGCTGGCTGTTCTTGCCAGTTGTGAATGGCAGCTAGGCCGTCATCACGGTGCCAGCGTACTTCAACGATGCCCAGCGCCAAGCCACGCACCTCGCTGGCCTGAAGTTAAGCTCGGCTGTGCTGCAGAATCCTGAACCCAGAGACTCCAATATCCCTTAATTAAGGAATATACCTTAAATCATGTTAAGGATCCTACTATAATTTAGGGAATATTCCTTAATCAAGGGATATTGGAGTCTCCGGGAATCCTGAAGCTCGGATCATGCCCAGCTCCCGGCCTGAACTTGTAGGGCAGTGCAAGCAATCTTGAGATTCCTCAGGAAGGATGCGGGCAAGATCTCTGGCCTCGAGGTCAGGTCCAGTCACAGCGGCAGCCCGAACGGCTTTTCCCCTTGTTTTTTGAGTTCAATGACGGCAGAAATAGTTAAATAGTTGCTTCGGTGGAGTTTGCTGCTTTCCAAGAGTCGCTTCGCAACAGTCGGGGGCGCTAACGCGCGGGTACTGTAAGGGGGGGCTTGCTCCTGTTTGCCCCTAGCCCTGGCGAAAGAAAGGGACGGAAGTCCGTCTGAATTGGGATGTCGAAGCCTCTTACGAGACGGCCAGAGTTGGGTAAACCTTTTCAGCTCAGGGTTTTGGCGGCTATGCGGGCCTCTGTTCTTTCTGGAGCCGTAGCGATGCAGTTCCTGCACACTCGTGCTATGCTCGGAGGTCATGCGCATCATCAACGAGCCTACGGCCGCGGCGCTGGCCTTCGGCATGGAGAAGCAGGCCCCGTCTTCGGTCACGGCATGCTGTGGAGAAGTCCTGGGAAGGCTAATTAATTGCTAGCTTACGGTTGCACGAGCAGCTGTGGAAGAACAGCTGGTGTCACGAGTCTTGGTAGTGTCAGATCGTTTCGATCTTGGTGCGGTCTAGAGATTGAAGGTTTTGTGCAGCGTGGCTTTGTTTCATACGCAACCGAACGCCGCACGTGAAGCAAAAGCCATTGCCAGGCAGCAGCGACAGTCGTGGTAGCTAGCAGCCGCGGAATAGCACCAGTAGTGGGGTGACACTGGCGATTGCATTTGGAAGAGGTGCTCTGTTGCTGGCGATTTAATTATATGCTGTGACTGGTGTGGAACCTTTTCAAGTTGTGCTGCTGCATTCTTGAAGCCCACAAGTGATTATTGCAGTGTGTCCCAGATTGCCCCAGCTCCCGTTGCTGTTGTGGCAATTGTCGTGGAACTTCTGCCTCCAGTTCCGAGCTTTAGCGGGTGGAGAGAGAGATAGAGAGAGAGAGAGAGTGATGCGAGCGGACAGCCATCCGAAGCGGGGGAAATAATGTCCTTGAGAACATACATACTCCCTGCTCCGCTATCGCATACTATAAAATCGTCTTCGTTGGGAGTATTATGTTCGCTCTTCANNTGCGGGTGGGCCTGTGGCCCGGGGGTCTTGACCGACCCCCATGCCCGGGAGAGAGAGAGAGAGAGAGAGTGTCGGAAGCTCCTGCAAGAGGATGGGCAAGTCTTGGCAGTCTACGACTTGGGTGGTGGCACCTTCGACATTTCGGTGCTCGAGATCTCCGGTGGGGTCTTCGAGGCAAGCTTTCGTGCCGTCGTTTGCCTGTCAAAGCTTAGCAGACAGTTGTGCATGGGTTTTCCGGAATGGGCCAGAACGATGAGGAGGGCCTCTTGCGTGGATGTGTGTGCTTGTTTTAACAGGTTGGTAGGTTTGCGGCAGGCAAGTGTGAGTGCTATTGCTCTGTTTCGACCAAGCATGGAACTTTGTTAGGTTTGGTATTGCCAGATGTTGGTGAGACTGCTTCAGCCACCTGCCCAAGATTTACGGTGCTGGCAATCGAAGTCCAGCAGCCAAGCTCACCAGAAAACATCAGAAAACCCTAAACCCCAAATATCTGAATCCGTGCGAGCGTCGAAACCCGAAACCCTGCTGCCGCTGGGTAGCCAGCTCCCAGACCCCAACCAGCCAACCTACCCAAAGCAAAGCCCACTATCAGCCTAAGTCCTTTCCTCCTGCCATGCCATGGACCTCCTGGGATTCGCAGGGGACTGGCCGATGGGAGGCATCACGCCGACAAAGTCCGTGATGTTGTTCTCTCTTTTTGTTGACATCCGTCTCTTTCTGTTTCAGCTTGTCGTCATGCATTCGTTCATGTCCCTAAACCCTAAACCCCTAAACCCCTAAACCCTAAACCCTAAACCCTCCATGTCTCCAGGGTTCAAGGGATCGCCTGCCTGGCCGTTTCAGGTCCTTGGGGTATCCTCGGGCTTGCGAGTTCCATACTCAACGGGTTCCAAGTAGGACTCTGATCTCCTAAATGGGAGTTTCTCCGAAATGTAGGGTACCTTATTTTTTGGGTCCTTATAGTAAGGATCCTACTTTTAGGGTACTATATTAGGGTCCCCTATTTTCGGAAACCCCTAAGTGTCCTAAGCTTTGAAGCCTCTTTTGGATTTGGGGGGGCCCCTCCTTGAAGGCCCGACTATGCAGGCGCCTGGCCTCGTAGAATCGTCCACTGCCCCAGACCCCAAGACGCCCAAGCATCAAAGCCACCTGAAAGAGCGCCCTATGACGGCCCTTTGTGTAGGGCCCCTAGAAAGAAACCTAGGCCCCCAAACCTACGGCCCCAGAGGGCTACTGGCAAGACCGGGAGGATCAGCTCCTCGGCTGCAGCTGCTCATAGCGGGTCGGGTGTAAGCAGAACGCCGGTCGGTCGCAGCGCCTTGGTTTGGGTGGCTTTTTCGGGGCGCCTTCGGCGGCTCTCGAAAGATGTCGCTGGGAACTCTGCGGCCGGCATCGTGTGACAAGGCGACACACTTTGGAGTTCAGACGCAACACGCAGTTTTCTTGGGTCTTTTCATCAGCCGAAGATCTCGTTTCAAGACGCGTGCCCGAAAAAGCAAGCAACCTCACCAACAATTCCCCGAGCTGTTCGAGGTGGCATGGCTGGGAGGGCCAAGGATGGGTCCCTTCCAGCGCGCCATCGGCGCCTCGGATGGAGGAGTTGGAGATTTCGGGGGTTTCGGAGGACTCAGAGAATCGCCGAGGGCCCAGGGCCAAGGGTATAATATATATATATATATATATATATGTTATATGATACAGTGTGTATATATATATAGAGTATATTATAGTATATATATATATATATATATTATATTATATATTATATATTATATATTATATATTATATATTATATATTATATATTATATATTATATATTATATATTATATATTATATAGCTTTCTAACATGCCAAAGGCATCCTGGCACACGGAACTCGTGCAAGATCCTTTGCAGTGACCTTTGACCTTGAAGCGTTAGGCTGCTGACATATTTTCCAGCAAGCATGGCATCGTGATTCGGTTACGTTGAGGTTGCATGTGGTTGGATTTGATTTTTTTCGTGAGGTTGCCCTTTGTCTCTGAATCGAGTTTAGTCCATTTATTATGGGAAGGCTAGCGGGTGTCGCTGCGCAGCGTAACCTGTGGCTATGCATGCTGCCGTGACGTTTCGTCCTCGGATTTGCCAGCCGTCTGCTGTCCTTGACATGTTCGATCGCGCGAGATGGTGCTGCACATGTGTTGCCGTGACGGTTGTGCCCGCGTCCTCCGGTAAGTGCGATCGATTGCAAATCCCAATACGTCGGCCTCGATATGAATACCCTCTCGGTGGATACGGCATGCCCACATCCTCCTTGATCCACAGCCTTCTCGGAAGCAGCGGGTCCTGGCGCTGCGAGTGTGCTGCCGCATTGAGTTTAGCCTGAAACTGTGTGAATCCTGCCAGTAATTGGGAATGTTTCATGTCTTTCACTCCCCGCCTGTACATGGTCCGAATCCCGCCAGTACATGGGGCAAGCACTTTGGTCGCACGCTTGCACCTGGTTGACAACACACTCGGTGTTTTTGGCGTGTCTGTTGAAGAAGGCTTTCTTGAAGGGCTTGTGCAAGAGAAGTCTATGGGAGGGCTTGTAGACATGTTTCAAGAAGGGTTTATGGGGGTTTACCATTGCGGAAGGGTGGTGTGAATGGGTGATGGATGGACGGATGATGTAGGGGTGCTACAGCGCTGCAAACGCTTTCGGGACTTTCGTTCTTTGGTTAGATCCTTGCATTCCCCCCGACATTGTCGAACAGGAAGCCTTGCTATTACTTTTTATTACTATTATATCCTTGCCCTTCATCCCAGTCATGAGTACTGTCTTGTGGGTCAAGCTGGGCAGTAAGGGCAGCAGACGAGTCCCTTGTGAAAAATATCCTTGCCCTTGGCCCAGAGTCCACCCCGCAGCGTGCGCAGCGTGCACCTGCGACCGGCCGACTCCGAGGGAGGAGGCACCACTACAACACGGGAGGTACTTGTAGGGTTGTGCGGGATGTTTGGGGATGTTTTTGGGGCGTGGAACTGCAGGATTTCGGAATCTTAGTGTGGACCGACAGGGCTTGAGGGTGCATGGCTGCCTCAGTGATCCGCGGAGTCTGGCTACTCTAGCAAGCTGCTCGTGCAGGATGGGAAGAGCCCCTGTTGTCACCGCGAGAGGCAACTGGGGCAGGGGTGTTCTTTGTTTTTTGGTGGTGCCGGCAAGGTATCGGGGACGCGAGGCATGCATTTCTCTGCTACCAACGCAGGTGGCCGGTGATCACTAGTCGCTTCATTTGGAGGTCAACATGCCATTAAGCAGTGTTCAAGCATGGGCTGCTCGACCGAGCTTTGTAGTTGCCCGTCCTGGAGCTCTAGCCAAGACGGCTCAACGTTGTTTTACATTGTGTTTTTAGCCCAGCCCAGAACGTAATCTATGACAACCACTATCTATCTATCTATCTGTCTGTCTATTTATCTATCTATTTATCTATCTATCTACCTATCTCCCTACAAGTAGGTCGCTAGCTAGCCATCTATCTATCTATCTATCTATCTATCTATCAATCAATTTTCTATGTATCTATCAATCTATTTATCTCTATCTCTCCATCTCTGCATCTCTCTATCTATCTCTCTCTCTCTCTCTATCTCTCTATCTCTCTATCTATCTATCTATCTATCTATCTATCTTTCTATGTGTAAACAAATAAACAAGTAAGCAAAAGAACGAATCTAACTCCCTAAACCCGCACAGGGCTCGCCTTTGCCGGAGAGTCCTCGAGGTCCGAGGCCAGGCCCAACGATGTCTTTTTTGTTTTCTGGGGGGTTTGGGCTTGTGGGCTTAGGGCTTTTTCAAATGATTAGAGCCTGGGTTCAAAAAAGGGTTTAGAAATGGCGTATACATGAAATTAGTGCATCGGAGAAGGATATATAGGTAGTAGGGGTGCTGGTGGCCGTCGTCATAGCCGACACTGCCGGTATTCTTCTGACATCCAAGTGTCCTTAGCAGCCTTCTTCATCGTTGCTTGACTGTATGCTGCATGCTGTATGCCATGACTTGAATCCCAGAAACTCGCGGTGGCCATCCTGTGGCAGTGTAGCCTCATCAAGATAAGATCAGCCAATGCGGTCCTCAAGGTAGCATAGTGCTTCGCGATCGGCTCGCAGGTTTAACTGTTTGGAACTTCGATTGGGTCGACAATGAGAACCATCATTTGCACCATTTTGCACATCTCTGCACCGTGAGATTGTTAGATTTGTGCGAGTCCCTGTCACTAGAACTCCGAGTGAGTGTTTCTTGCCTCGCTTGCATTGCCGGGTCACGAGAGTCCAAACCCGAGAGTGAGAGTCGAACTCAAAATCCTTAACCAGTATCTAAGGGTGATCGACGACCTTAGTGAGAGTAATGCGATTCGACCAACCTTGGACAAGTTTCGCGTCCAACCGACGAAGCACCAAGAAACTCGCCTGGTTACGGAACTCGGCCGCCGAGGATGGTGCTTTCCTCGCCCAAGCGCCGCAAAGACAGCCGCGACAGCCGAGGTTCAATCCGCTCTGGTCCCAGACATAGGGTCCAGAGTTTCGGGGCCAGGCCTTAGAGTTTAGTGTTAGCGGGCATTTGCAAGTCCGGGCAACAAAGGGTTCAGGGAGGGTAAATTTTCCTCTGCATTCTTCAGAACCGACGAGGTCTTGTCGGGCAGAGGGAAGCTTCCAGTATCCGGAGGCGACAGCCGCCCTCGCAGCCCACGGCGGAGCAATCGCCGCCGTACCCTGTCTGAGAAGGATTTCATAAATTTGGGGAGGTGAATGTAGCCTGAGTGCAAGATGCAAGGCCCCTGTGCGCCAAATCGGGCCGTGGGTCATGTGCGCAAGAGCTGGTCCGCTGCAGCATGAGAAGCTGGAAGGAAGGTGGCGCGGGTGTTGAGGGTTGAGTGATATACCGTGTGGAAAGCCGTGAAGAGGCATATGCCAAGCAGTGACTGCGGCTCAGTGCAGCATTTCTCGGCAAGCTTCAAGTGCCCCCCAACATCAGAACCCAACGAGACTCCCTGGCTCACTGGCTTCAACCCTCGAGTCTTCGAGGATGGGGCGAGCCCGACGATGGGTCGGTGCATGGCTCTGACTTCGTCTGAGGATGCAAATTTACAGCATCCTCGCGTGCATTCTGCTGATTCGTCGGGGTCATTGCTTGTCGTTATGAAGGTGCAACTGATCGACATTGCTATGCTCGTCAAGAAGTGGTCGTGGCTGGTACACCAGGCCCGAAGCCAATTAGCTGAGCATGCGAGGGAGATGGTGTACTGGGGCTATCTTGACTTTCAGTTGGGACACGCTGTGACGGTGGTGGAGACTTTGGTGAACATGCTGGACATCTGGAGACGGCTGCTATGTCCGTTCCCAAATCGTCCGCGATTGTTACAGACAAGGTCTGCGGTCCTGCGGCCGCCATGGCAAGAATCCATTCCATCAGTTGTTGGAGCAGGGCGTGATAATGGCTGGGCCGACAGACCGGATCATCACGCATCCATATGAATTTGAGGAAGCTTCTCACCTGAACCCGGATCAAAGGTCGCATTTTGGATGTTGGATTGCTTCTGGATGATGGAGAACACAGCCAAGAAAGCCTGCCGACGTCACATCAACATTGCTGCACATTCACAGGAGGCTTCTTGAGCTTAGAGCAACTGAGCAGGAATCAGGCCCAGATCCTCAAGATCGTGCTGTGCCAGATGATGCGCAGGACAGTGCTTCGGTGCCTCCGTGCTGGGAGGAAGTGCTTCCGATGCCGGGGCCGCGAAGCGCTGCGGAGGAGACGGAGACGGCCGAGGTTTCCGAAACGGCGCTGGAGGAACGAGGAGCAGACGCTGCCGAAGACAGAGCAGTCGCCAGGGTGGGTTTCGCAACTAACTACACCAAAGGTGAGGAAGGATAGTACCAGTACCCTCGCCAGTCTTGTGGAATGAGCTGTGCGAGTGACACGTGAATGCCAGGAGAGCTTCGAAGCAGAAGAGGCACTTCCATACGACTAGTACGAGGGGAATGGCAAGAATAGCAAGGGGGTAGAAAGGAACATTTCGTGCTTGAAAGTTCGGTAGCAAGCAAAAGAAACAGTCATGATAGCGATGGCCAGTGAAAGAGGACTACAAGTTGCCTGCCATACCTGAAGCTCCTGTGGCCACCCATATTTCTTAAGAAGCCCTAAACCCTGAAACTTGAACCCTGGACCGTGAAGCTTACCGTTGGACCAGTATCGCTACAGACCTTGCCAGGCTTTGTCCGAGTGTGAATGTCAAATAAACCCTAAACCCATAAACCCAAAAAACCTAAACCCTAAACCCATAAACCCTAAAAATCCTAAACCCTAAACCCCCAAACCCTAAACCCTCAACCCTAACCCTAAACCCTAAACCCTAAACCCTAAACCCTAAACCCTAAACCCTAAAACCGAACCCTAGACCCTAAAGCAAGGCGATGACAGCTTCGACAGCCGCGACAGCCGCGCCCGGCTGGGCCAAGACATGGCAGCTTTTCGAGGTGCACTCCTTTTTGAAGGGCTTCCTTTAAGGGTTACGTGAGGGTTCCAAAAAATACGAGGGTTTACAGTAGGGTTTAGGGTTTAGGTTTCCTCTTACAATTCTTGCAGGGGGTTTGGAAGGTTTTGGATTCACGTTTTTTTTCGTTTTTCTAGGGCTGCAAGGGCCCAGTCCTGGGTGCAGTGGTCTTTACGCGCTTCGGCACCGGTTCGAAGGACGAGTGTCGCGCCAGCCGTGCAATTCCTCACACCTCTAGTGGGGTTACTGGTAATTAAGTGCGGGGTGGTCTGTTATGTTGGAGACTGTCGACCCAAGAAGGAAACTGCATACACCGGCGACGACCCTGACTGAGCGACGATGCTTTCCTTAAAGGCCGACTAGAAGATTGTAATGTAGTAACGTTGGTGCGCTCTGATCGGTCTTGCTTGCCATTGGTTCCGTTTGAAGTTTTCGGAGGCAGAGACGAGCTTACCAGCTCGGATCCCGACTCAACGGTTAGTACCGTGGTTCTTCTGTAGAAGAGGCCTTCCTACCTCTGCTTCTGTGGAGGAATTTGTGATGCTTTCCGTCTCGACGAGTTTATCCGTCCACACAAGACTGCTTCGACCGCAAGCACTGGTACTATGGCGGTGTGGTGGATGCGAACTGTAGCACTGCGTCCTAGGGTGCTGTTTGCAAGCCAAACTTTGCTTGTTAAAGGCTTTTTCTGTTACCGGGGTCCGCGCTTCTGGCGGCTCTGCCCCTCTCGAAAACAGGGGCTGGCTTGGCTCGTGCTCCCCTTGCGCCGTCTGTGGCCATGGATGCAAGATGCAGGGTGACACACATGATAATCGTAGCAGGAATGACGACAGTAGTAACAATAGTAACATTAGTAGCCGCATGCAATAGTAGTAATAGTCTGGTCCTTGAGAGAGACGTGTTTTTGTTGCTCCCCTCAGTCGATCGCGACATCAGTGCTGAAACTCGCGTTGCAAGCCCAAGCAAAATACAAGGTTGTTTTACAGAGAGCAAGGAAAGCCCCCAGGTGTAGTCAGGCCGACATTCCCAAGCACCAAGCCAAACCACTCGGAAGCCATAATCATAAACCTGACACCTCGGCCCTAGCACCAGCAGCTCCTCCAGCGTCATGTGGTCAGTAGCTGCCTCAAAGTCGAAACCGGAAATTCGAGACCCAAATTGCACGCATCCTCGAAGCCCAATCCCCCACAACCCTAGAGCGTAGACTTCTGCCAGGCTTGTCCCAGTTGTGAGTGCTGAAGTTTCTCTAAGCCTTAAGCTGGAAAGCCCCGAATTCTTGTAAACCCTAAACCCTAAACCCCTAAACCCTAAACCCTAAACCACCCTGAACCCTAAACCCTAAACCCTAAACCACCCTGAACCCTAAACGCCCTGAACCCTAAACCCTAAACCACCCTGAACCGTAAACCCTAAATCCCGGTCAAGGCCGCCCTGGCTCGGACCAGCGATGTACGGAACGGCCGAGCGAAGCTGCAGGCTCCAAAGCTGAGGGTTCCGGGTTCTTTAGGGTTGGTTTAGGGCTTCAGGTTTAAGTTTTAGGGTTTAGGGCCGCTTAGAGCATAGGGCCATAGGGCTAAAGGTTGAGGATTTAGAATGTTTAGAGTTCAGGGATGCGGGGGGTTTTTGCAACACTAAGAGGGCTGGGATGGGCTGGGTCTACTAGGACTTAGGTTGTCTAAGCTTCTTCTCGCGAGAGGCTTTTGGGGCTTCTGCAATGTTTCGTGAAGGGCTTGAGAGTTTGGTGTTTAGGGTGCAGGGTAAAGTAAAGCTGCTGGGCTTGAGAGGCGACCGACTCCAGGCGAAGTACGAAGCCTGTTGCAAAGAAGGGGTCAGGGTAACCAGGCGATTGCACAAGCCCTGATGCAAAGAAGGGTTTAGGGTGCCAACGTTTTCGGGCCTCGGCTGAAGAACGGCAGAAGAGGCAATGCTGGCAGTCATCAAGTCCGGTTTCAACAAGGGTTTTGGGTGTAGGGATTAGGGTTTAAGTGTTTAGTGCGAGCGGTAGAGTCACGGTAGACCGGACGCAAAAAAGGGCTCGCACTGATAGGCTGGCGACACAGCAGGAGGACTCTGCAGTGCTTCGAAGTCTCAGTTTTCTTGGGGGTGTTTTCTGGGTTCTGGTGGGGGGAGACTGTAAATGCTTAGTGGCCCCTGCCATGCAAACTTTCCTGCAACCCTTTGGATCAGCCCAGCATGCTCTCCACATGAAGGGCTCGAGGATCAAACATGCGAAAGAGGCTCATTGACAGCTCCAGCTCTCATGCGGATAATGCTGGCTAGCAGTACACACGTGATTGGAAATACTGCCTCTAGAAAGAACCGCGGCAGTAGCTTCCGGTGCCCTTGATATGGTACGACAAACCGGCCCAATATGAACGATGCTACGGCCGGAACTGACAGTATTGGTAAAGCACGGGGAACCTTGCATGCAGCAGAGGTGAGGTATTGCGCTTGGGATGTCAGAAAAACTACAACCATCTAGCTGGCCATACAGATTCTTCAGATTGTATCTTGCAAAAGCACGGCGTAGAAATCTTGCACTTGCGGTATTGCCGGCCAGAAAACCACTTGGGAGTCCGAAGTTCCACACTCACTTTGATTTGATTCCATCTAAATCCGAAACCCTACCTGGAGGATCATGGGTGGTTATAAGTCCCCTAATTGGGGGTTATAAGTCTAGTTACCTTAGTTATAACCCTACTTACTACGTCCCATGATCCTTTAAGTAAGCCCTCGCTTATAATAAGGGTCCTACTATTTAGGGTACTATATTAGGGTCCCCTATTTTCGGAAGCTCCAAAATCCGAGCCTAAGCCCATCGCTTCGGCCCCACAGGGCAGACGGCGCTGCCCCGGACGGAGGCTGCGGGGACCTCCGAGGAGCCTGGCCAAGGCAAAGCGCTGGCTTAGCTTTAAGGCTCTAGGCTCTAGGGTGTAGGGTTTAGGGTTTAGGGTTTAGGGGTTTAGGGTTTAGGGGGGGCCTTTTCATAAAACATGTCCCTAAAAGGGTTCCTATCAGGGATCTGCTAGATGGGTGAATCAGGGTCATGGGGATCTGATGGATGGGTGAATCAGAGTCATGGGGAGACGGGGTAGTCATCCCCGAAGGGCGTGAGCAGAAGACATCCTACGAGACCGTAACCTTAACGACAGACATGCTTCTTCTTCGCGGCATCTCTGAGCATCTATGCAGTGGCAGGTGCCGGGGCGACGTGCACCGAATCTGCGAATGGCGTTCCCTTGCCAGCGGATGCGGGGTCACCGGCAAGGTCAGAGCGACTTGGTGACACGGTGTGTACTTCCGTGGACTCTTCTCAACTTTGGGAAAGCTTTGGGGTCCGGAGACTTGCAGAACTTGCCCCCTTCAAGGAACCCTGTACGCCCTAGCGCTCACAAGTATTTGGCCCAGCTTTACATTTTCGTGCTTCCCTGGACCTAACTGGAAGGCAAGCCCGTCCTGCTAAGAACAGGGAAAGACTGGTTGTAGCTGAAGATGCTTGTTACAATGAGGGTACACTACGGGTTCCTAGATGGGTTGTGAGTGTTTGCCTAGTGTTTCTTTACTCGATTGAGGACTTTGATTGCTTGGGGCCAGAGCGTTGCATTCGCCTGCGATCTGTCGCTTCATCAATGCTCGCGTGTGAAGGACATATAGTTTCGTACACAGACAGCCTGTGAGAAGCCGCCGAAATCGCTACCAGTGACCAGTTCCTGCCGTACGGGGATGATGTGGCAGTGCGTGCTTAGCATCCGAGCACGTCGTGTGTTTGTATGCATGGACTGGTCTGTACTGGGCCGATGACAATGTACAGAGCCTGGCACTTTGTGAAAGTCCAAAAGCTCCATTAGCTTTACTGCAAGCTTTAAACTCTACGGTGTTAGTTTGAGTACACCATGCCTTTGCCTGAAGCAATTTCGAGCTCGACTTTTAGCCCGTTTCAAACCGCCCGCTCCTGGCTGAGCGCCATGCTTGTCACGCTTGCCTTTGCCGTCTGCTTCACGGCACCTTGGCCGCTTTTCGTTCCAGACGTTCAATGCCGCGGTCAGCTTCACGTGCTATCGAAAGTGTTCCCGCAACCCAGACACCCTAAACCCTAAGCCCTAAACAGCTTCCGATAAGATTGGAACGATACGGAGAAGATTAGCATGGCCCCTGCGCAAGGGTGACACGCACAAGTGCTGAAACAGCTTCCGAGGTGAGTGCTGCAACTTCGCAGGAGGGTGCTTGTGAATTTGCGGAGACCTCGCGCAGCGCGGGCCTTCTGCAGAGTGGCACCGTCCGTGAGCACGACCATGCCCAGCCCCAGCTTCCCGGCTTCCCATCTTAGATACAGGTTCTCACATCCTATTGTGGCTTGTGATGATGATTATTACTATTCGTATTCTTGCCATCATGAATATTGTTGTCTTGGTTCTCGTGATTAGCATTCTTCCTGTTATGGTGATGTGATTATTCTGACTATTGTGGCTACTGGATTTTGAATTTGGCTTCATACCAGGTCCGGACTTCTCAAGCTGTAAAAGTTGAACGAGCAATCTTGAAAATATACCCTCTTCGAAACTGATGAAGCCACAGTAGCTGGTGAGCTTGTGCCGCGTCCCGAACTCCAGCCAGCGGGGGTGGGGGCTGAAAGCTGGACGCACAACCTTGTAAACAAACGCTCCTCTAGATTGGAACAAACCGCACGAGCTATGGAGCTTGACTGATATTCTATTCTGTTCTATTCTATCCTGTTCAGTTTCTATACTAGTCTATGAATCATACTAAATTATGTTCTGGTATATGATATTATACTGTATTATATATAGATATCTACACACATGTGTATACATGCATATATATATATATATATATATGTGTGTGTGTGTGTATCTCTATTTATCTATCTATCCATGGTGGCTTGCAAAGGAAGCGCTTCTCCGAGTTGTCCTTGGCTGACCAGAAGACGGTGGAGGAGCTGATGAAGGCCACCGACGATGACACCGACTTCGAGGTGGCCTTGGGGTTTTCTGAGATTTGCGCGGGTCCTTCAAAGTATGATAAGTCGTTTTGGGTTTAGGATTGGGTCTTTGGGGAGAGCTGGAAAACCCCCGCAGCTGTTCAGGAATGCTGCCAAAAGGTCAGCAAGTGGTGGTGCACGTGTACCCGTGCCACTGAGAACCCGGCAGATTGCGATCCGGCTTTTGCTGCTGCTTGGATGCAGGTCTGTTGAGCCATTTTTAGATAGCGATGTGGGGCTGCAGCACAGTTCTCCACCGGGCTCCCTGAACAGATGAAGCATAAGTGCAGCCTCTTTCCAAGGAGTCCACTGCTCAATGCAAGACGCAGTACAGCTCATCGGAGGAGTGCAAGGCACCTCCCGGCTATCCAATCAGCTGAGTCGGGTGAGCCCAGCATAACAGCTGACCTCGAGCTGCTCCGATGTGAGGCTGCGGCAAGGACTGAGGCTGCGTGAAGAAAAGGTATCGGGGGGCTGTCGTTTTTCTCTGGGAGCTCGCTTGCCCGGCCTGGCCGCAAACCCTAGACTAAAACCCTAAACCCTAAACCCTAAGCCTAAACCCTAAACTCCTAAACCCTAAACCACCCGAAGGCCCTGGCCGAGGGCCCTAGCGTCTGGGGCTGCAGCTTTATCTCGGGTCACCCGTATCGCACATCGCCGGACCTGAAGTCACAACTATTTGGGAAGCGGGAATTGAAGCAATGTAGGAGCCTTAATAATTAGAATAGGGTTTTGGGGGGGGTTTCTTGATAGGGTTTCGGGGTTTCTTATTATAGGTAGAGTATAGTATACCCCCCAAATCCTATTCTAATCAGACATCTTCCAACGGACAGGCCGACCTACCGAAGCCCGAAAGGCCCCCAAAAGGGCCCCACGCCTCCAAGCAGCCGTCAGAGATCGTCAGCGAGCATCTGAGGCCCAAGCCGAAGCGCAAGAAGCGGAGGCTCTTCGACATACCACCGGAGGAGGCCCTCGGTTCTAGTTGTCAAAGGTTTAGGGTTTAGGGACCTTTAAGAGAGGCGACCTACTCCAAGCGAAGTGCGAAGCCTGTTGCAAAAAAGGGACCTTAAAGGTGTGGAAGCGCAGTCATGAGAGCTGAACTTCTGTAGGCTCAGACATTCAGGCGATTGCACAAGTCCTGATGCAAAAAGGGTTTAAGGTCCCTCTTGAAGACCTCCCGGGCAGTGTTTCCAATTCTTGCCCGTCTTCTGCTGTCAATCATCAAGTCCGGTTTCAAAGAGGTCCTCTTGAAGCCCCAATACGATAGTGTATCGGCGTGCAGCAGCAGAAGCCCTCAGCGCGTTTTGTGCCTCTCTGCAGCCGTGGTCAGCTCCCGGAGTTCCTTAAAACGTGGACGTCCAGAAACCCTGCTGTAAGTTCGAGGTGCAACACCAGGTTCACAGCTCAAGAGGCGCACTTCCAGACAACAGATATATATATATATATATATGTATATATATGTATATATATATATATATATAAAGACCTGGAGCGGTCTTGATTTAGGACTCAGGCTACAGCCATGCCTGCTCCAACGCTGCACGGGCATACGGCGATCGGCCTCCTCCAGGACCTCAAGCGCTCTCGATGGCTTCCCCAGTACAACGAGAAGGACGTGAAGAAGGTCATCGAGGAGATCAGACAGGACACGTAGTTCGGCCTGAAAAAAGCTTTCAGGCTCGCATCGTCACAAGCTAGTCAGCCTGGTCATAGTTAAAGTGTTTCTCTGAACGTTGTTTAGCCTTCTGTTTCGTTTGGTTGCTGGGGAGGACAACGCTGAGATGAAGAGGATGGCCAGAGAGTCCGACGACCAGAACGAGAATGAAGTCCTCTCGGGCATGTACCTTTATGACGAGCTCATGCATCGCAACAAGCGGATGGTGCTTTGCTACCTCAACTATCGCGCTGAGACGATCGAGAAGCTGCGATGGCAGGTCGGCCTTATGATGCCTCCCGACAAGCTGGGGAAGCTGCACGAGGCAGAAAAGCAGTACTTGAAGAACTACATCAACAGCCTTGACAAGTACATGAAGCGCTACACGCCGGACTGCAAGCTTCCCTTGGATCTCACTGCCGATGCGGGACAGGCTCCCAACGACGGGCTGCATGTCAAGGTGCGAGTCTTGAAGGCCGATCCCACCATGGAGGGCATCCAGAGCTTGGAAAGCGGACCACTTCGCTTTCGTCCCGGCACCCAGATGCTGGTCAAGCGCAGCGACGTGGAGCACCTGATCCGTGCCGGTAAAGTGATGCAGGTCCGGAGCTACAAGAGCGACACCGTCGGCGGCGGCTTCTAGCTACTCCAAGCAGGTGACCCCCTTCTACGGAGTGAGGGTAGGCTGGGGATGTCAGCGGACGGTGGTGTCTGATCTTCCTAGCTACGTGCTTAGGGCGCTAGGGTGTTTAGCCGTTTAGCCATCTCTAGACCCGAAGCCGTCTTCACTTCAGGGATCAACCCCGCATCGGTTTGCAAGTATTCAGTGTCGGATCTCACGCCACCAACCGCCACGCCGTAGAGAGCACCCTGATGCTCTCGCTGGTCACAAACAAGGCAAATCTCAGGTCATACCCTAAATCGAAACTTGTGCTAATTGTTGTCATTTCTACGCTTACTCTGACTCCTGCCATTTCTGGCACTACTGGCACTAGCATAAGTTATAAGTAAAATTCATTACCGTCATTACTGCTGCTACCACCACTATTGCGATTCCGTCACAATTACGAATACGTTATGCCCTGTGACTGTTTCTATGTCTCCTTGTGCTTGCTACTACTTATGACTACTACTTACTACTTGCTGCTAGCTACTTACGACTTACTACTACTACTACTACTACTACTACTACTACTACAGCTGCGATCGCAACAACTTGTTCGATGAGTCCTTAGCATCATCTTCTGAGTATGATCATGATGAAGCGATGCTGACTGCGCGGGGTGGATTGGGGATTGTCCCGAAGCCGACCGGTGGCATGGGGACCTGACACCGCAGGCAGAAAAGGGAGATTGCTTGGGCTGCGAGAGTTGGAGCATGCAGCACAAGACATGTAGCTCGGAGGGCCAAAACCTCCAGCAGGTGCCGCCAACCGAGCCTGTGGGGCTGCTACTGGGCTATGGCAGGGCCGGTTTTGGGCCTGACATTTCAGCATGTCCAACTGTCCAAGCAGGTTGAGAATGAGAAGGTCAAAGTCGCAGTGGGCAGGCATGTAGGCTCATGGTGGCTCAACTCGGTCGAGGTGACTAGAGTTGCACTTGGAGGAGCATCGACGGTTGTAAGTAGCTCGGTGCACGGGTCTTGGGTTGTTATTGCGCCCTCAACCCTTAAACGTAAACCCTGAGTTGCAGGTGGTACAAAGCCCTGGCTGGCAGGTTAGTGAATCTCCGAACTGGAATCCCGTAGCCAGTGAAGATTGCAAGCCGCTGGATCGGTAGAAGCCGTCAGCTGCTTATATGGAAGATATATAGACGCTTGAGTAATCAACAATATCGTTTCCTTAGGGTTCCTTGCTGTAATGGTACTATAAGCACCGCCAAACCGTGTTGGAAGTATATTGCCTTTGTATAGTTGCCCTACTTCCGGCCCCATATGCGCGGCAGTTTCTCCTAAGCAGGCCGTTCACTGATTGCAGGCCCTTTTCGGAACCCAGTGGGGATTCCTTGATATCCCTTCCTGGATCCGACAAATTCGAAGCAGGCTCGAAGGACAGCTCTTCTGAGGGTTTAGGGTTTAGGGTTTTTGGGTATTAGGGTTTAGGGTTTAGGGTTTAGGGAAAGAAGCCCAGATTCGCCACCGAGGCCCTCTGATTGGCTTCCCGCCGTGGTCACGCCAGGTGGGGTGGTTGCTGCCCTCAAACTTCTGCGGGCCCAAAGATCTAGCGGCAAAAACGGCCAACCGAAACAATCAAGTATCTCCTAAACCCTCAGCTGTACTTCATCCCCCGTCGGCCCGAAGTCCTCGCCTGGTTACTAAGACCCATTTGGGACTTTCCGAAAATAGGGGTAACTTATTTTGGGGTCCTTATAATAAGGATCCTATTATTTAGGGTAGTATATCAGGGTCCCCTATTTTCGGAAAGCCCCATTTGGTGTGTTTTTTTAGGGTTGTGGCTCGGGCCGGAGGCTTGGGGCTCTTCCCCAAAAGTGCGTATTTTGAAGCCTTGCCGGGGTGAAGGTCCAAGCCCTGAAACCTCATTAAACCCGCTTGGCTTCTGAAACCTGAAACCTTCAAAACCTGCTGTTAGTTTTAGGCTCCTGAAACCTAAAGCCCGAAACCTTCAAAACCTACATTTCGGGCTCCTGACACCTCAAACCTGACACCTTCAAGACTTACCATGACAGACAGTTGAGGCTGCACCAACTCGATTCCTTTTCAAAGGCCCCAGCTGCGAGCTCGATCCACTACTGGATGCGGTGCCTCGGTGTGGGGGTTCTACATCGGTTCTGGTGGGGGATGGTGTTTTTTTGTTATTTTCATTTTTTTTTGTGATTTTTTTTTTTTGGGGGGTATGTGGCGGACTAAAAGGAGGGAAAGAGGTGGTCGGAAGGCAAGCATCCAGGTCTGAAGCCAGGCTTCCACTGCATATTTTTCTTGAGGGATAAGCAGGGTTCAGGATGGTTTAGTTAAGGTTCAGATCAGTTTCCGGGGCGAGGGTTTGATAAGAACGTGGCCTTTTTGAATGATGCAGGGTTTCAGACTAAGTTGGTTGAGAAGTTCGCATGGAGGGTAGAGCGGCAGCAGCAGGCCTTGTGCAAGCGGTAGTTTTCGCTCCATACTTCCAGGAAGAGCCCTAGCACATGGCCTTTGCCACACCAGTCATCGCAGAAGCTCGGCCCCTCCAAGCCCAATACGCCCTGTTGAGAGTTATATCAACTCACAAGATAGTAAGAAGCCATGATATTCAAGGTAGGTTCCCTAAACCCTTAGGGTCATTAATCGTTTTTCCCTGTGTAGCTGTGTGCTCTCCCAAAGAAAGGATCATGGTACGCCATGGTGCGCGCGTTTTCTTTTTTGCATTTGTGCTCATAGCTGAAGTGGTGGCTGCGAGAACGTCTTCAGCGTGCTTGACTATGGAAAGCTTCCGACACTGCCACATCGTGGAGAACAAAATGCAAGACACTTGGTGTTGCGAGGGCCCTGCCGCGAACCAAGTGTTGTCTGCGCCGGCTTCACAGCGACCCAGAAGCTTGAGGACAACGTCCAACCTTCAGATTTGCTGCAGCATTTGAACAGACTGGAGCGTGAAGTCTTCTTCCCCGAACTTAAGCAAGCACTAAGACATGTGGTGGGTTGTCCCCTGCATTTGCAGGGTTTGGGTAGCATTCGACGTGAAGCCCAAGCAGTGGCGGCTGCAACTGCGGTGGGGGAGCTTCACGATGGAGTGAACACTGCCATCGATGTTTGCGCTTTAACTTCGTCCCAGGACCCCAACTTGCAGGTACGTCTAGAAGTCTACAAGGGGTTGAAGACAGCTCGGAGGGGAAGCCCATACGATGCAGTTTGCTGCCTCAGCCATTTCACCTTACATCCTTGTTGTTGACGTATGTTAGGGAATTGCCGTGGCTGGAAGAGGCTGGAACAGGGCATCCTGACCCAAACAGTGGCAACATCATGTTGCGAAGAGCGGGCAAGTGTGTATGGACAGATCTGCAGGCACGACCTCAACATCATCCGTCGTCTGGGTGCGGGAGCTGATCCGCAAGGATGGGACGTTTACAGAAGAGCTGAGGCCCAAGGTCCTTGGGCCTCAGCTTTTCTGTGGCCGTCGGCTCAAGGATGGCAAGGAGTTGGAGCCAGAATGTGTTCCAAGTGAAAGGCGCGTTGGCCGTGGATGATCTGAGGAAGGAATCAAGAGCAAGGCGGAGCTCTCCTTAGTTCAAAACTGACATATACAGCCAGGATGGGCGCTGGGTGCCGGAAGCGAAGATATCAGCAAGTCTCCGCGACACAGATGAGGCAGATTTCTACTGGTTCGTGCTGCCAGAAGCGGACGATGCTTAAGTTGCGTGTAACAACAGCATTCGCTGATGTTTGGTTGCGCTGCGGCTTTGCTTGACTTACAACCTCGCCTGCATTGCCAAGTCGCGAGAGTCTAAACAGAGTGAGTGCCAAACAAAAACGCCCTAAACACCCCTGTAGTCATGCAAGACAAGAAGTTCCAGCTATGTGCTTCAGACAGAAGTGCAGCAGGGAGCTCTTCGAGCCCCGACGTCGAACCGAAGTACTGCGCTTTACGAGGCCTCCTCCCTTCGGAGGAGCTCCGTGGCCGAGGTGATGGCCTTCTGCAGCTGGGCTGGGCAGAGTTTCGACTTGCGTTCTGGGCCTCTGTTGTTAAGATAGGTAGTATTATTAGGGGTACCCCTTAAAGGGTACCCCTTCTGAACCCTACTTTTGGCCCTCTTAAAAGGGACCTTATTGAGAGGGTCTATATCCCCAGGGGTCCCCCTAATCCTAGCTCCCATAAGACGTCTTAAGGGGGGTATCTACGATTATCTACGGTTCGGGTATGTTCGGGTGCTTCCGCGGTTGCGACCATCTCTGTTCCCGGTGGCTCAGGGATTGCATGCGCTTGGATGCAAGGTCTGAGTTCTTAAGATTTTAGTTTTGGATTTCTGGATGGAGATTTGTAGCAAGATGCTACAAGAAAGGTGCCCGGAATTAAAGGAGCCTCAAATCGTTAAAGAAGTTCCTCAGAAAATAATTTCACACAGCAAATTCCCAGCATCGGATGACCCAGAAGCCTGAATAGTTGGTAACAATACTCCAATGACTCGTATAATTATAGCAAAACCCACCCCAGAGGCGTATTCTAATTTCTACGGCCCCTTATGTAATATTAAACCCTGTTAGTAGCTAACCCTTATAGGCCCCTTTCCAAAGGGACCCTTCGTCTCTAATCTTAGTCGACTCCTTTACCAGGGACCCTTCTTCTCTAACCCTTGTAGACTTCTTTAAACGGACCCTTCTTCTCTAACCGTTTTAGACTCCTTTACAAGGAACCTTTCTTCTCTAACCCTTGCTGACCCCCTGCAAAGGCACCTTCTTCTCAAACCCTTATAGACCCCTTGAAAAGGCACACTTTTCTTTAACCCTTATAGACACATTTAAAAGGGACAGCCTTAAACCCAAAACCCCAAACTATGCGAGAGGGAAAACCCCAAACTCCAAACCCCATTAAGGATTGTACGAGTGTGAGTGCCGAGATCCGATTAAGGGCTCCCTAGATGGGTAGTTCTCTAAATTAGGCACCTTTTTTAAGTCCTAAATATAGTAGTACGGCACCCTAAACCCTAAACCCTAAACCGAAAACCCTAAACCCTAAACCCTAAACCCTAAACCCTATAAGGAGAGCGGAAGAAGCCAGGCCTTTTC